GCCGGCCAGCCATCTTTCCCGAGCATCAGGGGAAGAGAAAGCTAAGGGGACAAAAAACCTGCGAATCCGCCACTCCAACCATCCGACACCACCGGACAGTCCGAGCCGCAACCATTCCCCCAACCTCACGGCCGCCCCATCTCCACGACACCAGAAGGCCGAGACTGCTCCACAGATTGGCGCCAGATCTCGGCGAAGACCATCTGCTCCACCCAGCGCCTCCAACACTGCAAGGACGGGGACCCTTGAAATCCATGGAGAGGCCGCTCCGGCCAGAGCTTACCGCCGACGAGGCTCTTGGCCCCCGGCTGGGGAAGACACGCGCGCGAATTTAGTCGAACAGGGAAGAAAGGGCTAGGGTTTTAATTGCGATTTGGGGAAGGTCTTTTGCCTTCTTAAGATAGTGAATTTGATGTTACGCCCTATGTGGAAACTTATTATTTATGAGAATTATCAATAAACCAAAAATGTTGGGATCAAATTTAGAACCAATTTAACTATGTTATTGAAGTAACATAAATAAGAAATTTTTTTATTTTTTTCTTCTTACCTTATAACTCATATTAAGTAAATGGTCAATTATATATCTAGTTCATATCTAAGCAAAATAGGATAAATAGTGTCAATTTCAAAAAATAAAAATAAATAAAAATAATTAATGATGGTAAAACAAAATGCAACAAGTCATTTTATAATTTAAAGAGAGAATACAATTATATCTTTCCAAATGTACCTACGCAATGTAAATAATCCTTCATCAATAAGTTCATATAGAAACCCAATCTTATTGGGAGAGATACCGCTCTCGTGCAAAATCTTTCTGTGGCATAAACCCAAGAAGTTCATATAGAAACCCAATATAAATAAACCCACACTGATTCTATACTAGTATGCAATACCGCTCTCCTGCAAAATCTTACTGTGGCATTCATATAGAAACCCAATCTTCTTTTTACTCCATTAGCCTTTTTTATTTCTTCTCTTTATATGGGGTCTATATTTTATTTCACGATATATTCACTTTCTCTGTCTTTAAACAAGTTCATCGTGCTTGCATATCTGGCGAAATATGATCGGCTTTGAGTTTAGAATATATATATTTATTGCTATAGTTATTTATTTTGTTTTCCTTTTTAGCTTTATTTATTTGGTAGGAGAATAATTATGTTATTAGGTAATTTCTTGTTTAACAAGTTAGGTAATTAGCTAGACTGGGACTTTATTTAGGCTATGTTTGGAAAAGCTAGCTGATAGCTGATAAACTAACTTATAACTTATGACTTATAGCTGAAAAGCTAGCTTATATGATAAAAGTGTTTTGTAAAATTAGCTGATAAGTTAGCTGAAATAAAAATTTCAACGAGCTTATTTGAAAAGCTAACCAAAGAAGCTTATGAGATAAGCTCGAGCTTTTTAAAATAGCTCACCTTACCAAACGAAACTCATTTGAATACATGAAGCTTATAAGCTAACCAAATAAGCTATAAGCTAGCTTATTTGTCTACCAAACATAGCCTTATTTGCTGTTCCTAAGCCATAGCCGATCGGCTTGTTTGAATATATCAGAAATCTCTTGAGTTTTTACTCTCTTTTCTCATCGTACGTTTCTGCCGACATCAGTTGGTATCGGTAGTCAGCATAATTGATGATGCCGCCGTGAAGGAACAACAACGACAGGCGCGGTGTCGCAATTGAGGATTTAGATCGGCGAACCGAGGGTTTTGACCAACACATCGTACAATTAGATCGTCGGGTAGAGGATCTTTCTGTAGGGATCGACGGGATCAAACTGGCACTCCATACCTTTATGGAGGGTGAGCATACGTACCACGACGAGGGCCTAGCGGAGTGCCCCGTGAGCGTTCGCTCCCACCGATGCACGGCAAGGAGACCCTATCGGAGGTCAACCTCTTCGGCTCTCGACAGGCACGGTGGGATGACGGCGGGTTCGGCTGGCGCGACGATCACCGGGATGACAAGGGCTGGGACAATGTTCACTGTCCGCGTTGCGAGGGCGACAATCGCTGGGAGTCCGACCTTCGAGTACAGGTCCCGAATTTTTCATGCGGTCTCGACGCGGCTGAATTTCTTGATTGGCGCCGTAGTGTTTATTCTCGACTATAAGGAGGTCCCAGACGAGCGTCATGTGGCACTCATCGCGACGCGTTTCCGTGGTTTGGCAGCTGCGTGGTTCATGCAACACAAAGGCGCGCGACATCATTAGGGCAAAAAACCTTGTCAAAATACAAAGTTGGTTGGGTCTTCAATTGAAAACTACAACATAAAAGTAGACATTATTGAAAATAATTTAAAATTGAATCTTCATTTGAAAAAGTTGAAAATTAACTACCTTGTCATTTTTTCTCTTTCCATGGTCAAAATCCCTAACAAGGAAAAAAAAAACCCTTCGTCTTCCTTCAAGTTTAGCCTCCCTTCCGCAGGCCGACAACCTCCATCTCGACGCTGCTCTCAATTGAGGTGTCAGCGAGCTTCCCTACCTGTCGTCTCCCTCTTCTCGACGTGGCGCGTCTTGGTGCAGCCATGGCGGAGCTTGAGGTAGGGGTCCGACGTCAGTGCGGCGAGTTCGTGGTCACCGACTCCGTCCGCTACCGTTGTGGGGAAATGGCCTGAGTCCAACGTCGTCTGGCCCCCACGATCCTCTCCGCCTTCTGGTGCTGGAGCGATTATCTGTGGGGGGAGGGGAGGAGGTCTGTTTCGTGTTGGGCTCTCAGTGTGATCCGAGAGGGTTTGCCTGTGAAAGGAGTTCGAGCTCGTTTGGTCTAGGTCTAATTAGGCTTGAAGTTTCTAGATTTAGGTTAAAGTGTGTTATGCTTTCTATCAGGAATTGTGTCGCTTGATAGTTTTCAGTTGTCTGTTGGCGATTGAGGAGAGCCTTATTTTCTTACTTTAGCTTTTAAGTTTAGTTTTGTGCGTGTTGTTTGGTGTTTGTGGTTGTGTTGCTGTCTATTCTCTTCTTTCCTTTTTGGGTTTTGTGAGTGTGTTAGTGTAGTTGCTTTACCTACCTCTGTGTAGGCGTTCTAAATTCAACTGTTTGACTATTTTTAAGTGACACCTGATTGTAAATATGTGTCTTTGTAGTTTATAATATTCTATCATTTTGAGAAAAAAAACTATATTATGACAAATACCCAAAAATCAAAATTTTCGATATTGTCTCGAAAAAAAAAAGAAGAAAAAAACTATATTTTGACAAATACCCAAAAATCAAAATTCTCGGTCATCTTCTAGTTATTGAAAAAACTGGAATTTCTTATGCTAACAAGAAGTCTATAAAACTTAAAGATTTTTTATCGATTGGTTTATGTCGCAGCGCACACACACTGACATACACACAAGATGTCAGATGGATCTGCCGACACCCCACTCCTCCACCGGCACCTCGAGGGGTGGCGCCGCCGCATTACCTCCGCCGTCAACCTCAAGACCTCCCTCCCATCCGAGCTGAGCGGCGCCGTCGGCGACCTCGGCACCTACATCCCCATCGTCCTTGCCCTCACGCTCGTCTCCAATCTCGACCTCTCCACAACCCTAATCTTCACCGCCGCCTACAACATCGCCACCGGCGTCCTGTTCGGAACCCCTATGCCCGTCCAGCCGATGAAATCGATCGCCGCCGTCGCCGTCTCGGAGACGCCTCACCTGACGGTTTCGCAGATCGCCGCGGCCGGAATCTCCACCGCCGCTGTGCTGCTCTTCCTCGGTGTCACCGGCCTCATGTCCGTTCTCTACCGCTTTCTTCCTCTTCCGGTCGTTCGGGGTGTTCAGCTCTCACAGGCAAAGTATTCAATTTTCCTTGTTATGAAAAAAAAAATATATATTTATTTATTTATTTTAATTGCAAATGAATTAGGGGATCCCATTTTTTGGTAAGTTGTGAAATTTTGTTAGCTGGAGCTTTACTATGATTGGGAAACAATAAATTTTTAGAGCTTGATTTTAATCCGGAAATTTATAATGGGGTTGGGGATTTTTCCTATGAACTGTTCATAAAATTTTCAATTCTTGAATTCATATCAAACTCAACAGGGATGCAAGATAAACTATATCATAGACTCAAGTGTGTCTTCCTTCATGCAATACATGATTTAAATCAATCCACTGTTTTGTTGTTATGCAAGACAACTTCATTATGATAAAAAGTAGAGATAGATCAAGAGGCAGAACATCTTGAGCTGAATTTCATTGAAAATTTTTCTTTAATTCATCAAAACACAATCAAAATTAAAAAAAAAATAAAAAAAATCAAATATCTTTCGCAGGGCCTGGCATTCGCATTTTCGGCCATCAAATACATCCAATACAACCAAGATTTCACCAAAACAACATCAACCAAAACAACCGACCCTCGACCCTGGCTCGGCTTAGACGGCCTTATCCTCTCCCTCACTTGCCTCCTCTTCCTAATCATCACAACTGGTGATGGAACTTCCAACACCAACACACAAAACCCTCGAAATATCCAAAAACGACTCAAAACTCTATCATCAATCCCATCTGCCCTCATAATCTTTCTCCTTGGCCTCACCCTATGCTTCGTCCGTGACCCATCCATCTTCCACGACTTAACCCTCGGGCCCTCGGGCTTCCATCTGCTAACCATAACATGGAATGACTTCAAGATTGGATTTTTACGTGGAGCAATCCCTCAAATCCCGTTATCCGTCCTGAATTCTGTTATTGCTGTTTGTAAGCTGTCGGGCGATCTTTTTCCGGGTACTGAATTATCGGCTGCTAAAGTGTCGGTAAGTGTGGGCCTCATGAACTTGGTCGGGTGCTGGTTCGGGGCCATGCCCGTGTGCCACGGGGCTGGTGGGCTTGCGGGTCAGTACAGGTAGGCTTGTAAACAAATCATTTTTTTTTTTTAATTCGATTCAATATTCGAATTCGATATTCATGATTCGAGTTCGAAATATTCGAATAATGTTTTATACTCGAAAGTTAAACGAATCCGAATTTGAATTTGTAGATATTCGATTCGAAATTCGTCGATTCGTTATCGATAACTATATAAATTTTATAAAATACATATAGTATACATTTTTTTTATAATATATATGTATATATATATATATATATTGTTATATTCCTGATATTTTTATGACATGAAAAGTAAAAACATCCTAAATTAAAAATTTTCCCTAAAAACATGGAAAAATATAAAAGTTATTTTTGTAATTGTAATATTTTTCTAAAAAACGAATGCTGAATCGAATATGTTCGAATATTCTGAACGAATCGAATACGAATTCGAATATCTCGAATATTTTAACGAATCCGAATCGAATATCTCAGTATTCGCTCTGATTCGATCAGTTTACAACCCTGAGTACAGGTTCGGAGGGAGGTCCGGTCTTTCCGTGGTGTTTCTCGGGCTCGGGAAATTGGTTATCGGGCTTTTGTTCGGGAACTCGTTTGTGAGGATCTTGAGGGGTTTTCCGGTCGGGATTCTTGGGGTGCTTTTGTTGTTTGCCGGGATCGAGCTGGCAATGGCGTCTCGGGATATGAACTCGAAGGAGGATTCTTTGGTTATGCTGGTTTGCACGGCTGTGTCGTTGACTGGGTCAAGTGCGGCTCTAGGGTTTGTTTGTGGGGTCGTTTTGCACGTGGTTTTGAAAGTGCGAGTGATGGATTTTTCGAGGTTGGGGTTTTCCGGGCCAGACTCCGAAGCTGGTGGTGAAGAAGAGTTGCTCGTTAGTCCCTAATAAGAGATCATCATCGTTCATGTTTTATTTTACTGTATTAATTGTTATGATTGTATATTATTATTATTTACCGACGAGATATCTTATGTTGGATAGTATATATATGTGACAAAAAGGGGGCGAAAAAATAAGAGAAGTTGACAATTGAGAAATTGTCTATGACTGTCTTTAGTGCCGTATATATTGATTGAGAATTTTTTAGCAGTAGTATATTTTTGTTAGTTTTATCAATAATTTTACTTAATATATAGTTGTGTAGTATTTATTTTGTTCGTCAATTATTACCGACATTTTATCAATCATATGACCCAAACGATATAAAATTATTAATTTAAAACTCTACTTTATATCAGTATGGGTACCAAAAGACAAGTTCTGCGGCTTGAAAGACAAAATCTATACGTTCAATTTGCGGCTTTATAATGTAACATATGATTATTGATATTGTTTATTCTTGTTCCTATTTAAATTAATTTAAAATAGATACTTTTTGTCAAAAATATGTACTTTTTGAATTAATGTAAATGATTAAATTTATAAAATGTAAAACATATACAATTATAGAAATTTCTATTTAAAATATTAGTTTTTGTAGAAACAATTTACATTACTAAAAAAAAACTTATATTATGATTTTATATACATGAAAACAAACAACAATAATTATTATTATTATTATTATTATTATTATTATTATTGTATGACACAATTAATTCTTAATACCAATGACAACTTTTACACTCCAATAACCAGTTGAAAGAGAAGAACAAAGTTTGGTCAACTAAGTCATGGCAGCATGCCTTCACTCACCAACTGTTGCAATCCCTTCTTAAGCCTCTGTGACGCCACACGACACTCCTCCTCGACTAATCCCCCAAACGAGATCCTTACAAAGCCCTTACACCCACTCGAGCAACCCGGGATTAACACAATCCCATGCTTTTTCGCCAGCCACCGCACAACTTCAAAGTCGTCTTCATATTTTTCCGGGAGTCGGGCCCACAAGTAAATGGCACCTTCTCCTCCTTTCACTGCATTTTCACCCAATGGAGACAATGCATCTAAAACGAGCTCCCGATTTTTAACGAGCTCTTTCACTTGGCTTCTTACCCATTCAGGCCCCAATTGCAATGAATGGAGTGCCAAACGTTGGGAAATTATCGAGGCACAAATGGGAATGTTGTCTTGGACCTTCAAGAGTTGGGCTGCTAATCCTTCTACTTTTGTGGGGAATGCAATCTGTGTAATCAAATTCAAATTCAAATTTTGGTTATTATGTCATTAAAGGCAAAATTGCATTTTTAGTCATGCTGGCTTAACGCTATAGCAATTTTAATCCCAAGGTTCCAACTTTGATTTAATATTTTGCTGCAATATCATGCAATATCAGTTCTTTGAGGATTGAAATTGCAGCGAATTTCCAAATTCCTAGATTTTCAGTTAGCAATTCGAGTCCTGTGATTAAAAATTTTGTTGCAATTTAAGTTCTGTAATTTAAATTTTGCTATGAGGACTGAAATTGCAACAAAATATTAAATCGCAGGACCAAAAGACGAAAAAGTTAGAATCCTAGGACTAAAATTGCTATGAGGTTAAACCAAGAGAACTAAAAATGCATTTTTGCCGTCATTAAATTTAAAAAAACATATAACTTACATATCCAACTCGCCATCCCATCATCCCATAAGCTTTCGAAAACGAAAATATGTTGACTATGTGATTGTCCTCTAGGCACACGTGCTTTCGCCCATCATACATGAAATACCTGTTTTACCAAGCTTTAATATAAAACGATGCCTATGTATTTATTGTCTACAATAATTAATAACAAGAAATCTCACTTACTCGTATGTATTGTCTACAATAAGCCAACATCCAGCGTTTTTGCAAATATCTGAAATCCGCTGTTTTAAAAAAAGAAAAAAAAAATTAGATATTGAGGAAAAGGATCTAAAGACGCTGATTAGCAAAATAAAAAACCTGGAGAAGAGATTCGGGTATGAAAGTTCCTGATGGATTGCCAGGATTTACAACAGTTACAAGCTTTGGAGTCGGTTCTGTTTCAAGTAATGTCTTTTCCAACCAGTCTGGAAAAAGAGAACAAAATTTTCCAGTAGCAAAATCAATATAGATTGAACCATGTGAAATGAACTTAGGTAACTTTAGTTTTTCTTTTCTTTTTTTTTTTTTTTTTTTTTTTTTTT